ATTACTTACATACTGGCGCATTGAAACAGATAAACAAATTTCAACAAAAAAGCTAGAGGGAAAGATAGAAAAGCTCAAACCAAAAACAACGAAATTTCCACAGCCAACATGCAACAAACATACTGTACATAACATGTCAGACTATCCTCTTTCTGAACCCGAAAAGAGCGTTCTGGAGAAAGGGTTCAACTATGCCATCGCACCAAAAGTAATACCCAAAGAGGAAATCATAGCCAATGTTGAATCAAGCTTAACAACATTAAACGAGCAAGATGCAGAGGAAATAAGACACCGGGTTGCCAGCATCCTCAGAAAAGCGAAACCACCGAGGCCTAATCTTACGCACAAGGAGCATCAAGCCCTCAAACACCTCAATAAAAAATCAATCCATCATCATACTACCGGCCGACAAAGGAAACACAACTGTCGTCATGAACATCGGGGAATACAAATCAAAAATGCAAGACCTCCTAAAAGATGAAACATATAAAGCGGTATCGAGGGACCCCACCACATACTTGGAGAAAACTACAAAAACTAAAATCAACAAATCTCCTATCGACGAAACAACAAAAAGGGCACTCATACCAAGAGAAAAATCCAGTAGATGCCCAAAATTCTACGGTCTTCCAAAAATCCACAAGCCAGGTGTACCTATGCGACCCATCGTTAGCGCATTCAATTCACCCCTACAAAAACTTGAACGGTACATAGCGCAGATACTCCAACCCATCACGGAAAAGGCATCCTCATACGTTAAAAACTCACACCACTTCACACAAATATTGACTTCAACTACACTCAACAACAATGACATAGCTAGTTTCGATGTCAAGTCATTATACACCAACGTACCAGTAAACGAAGCACTCCAGTTAATATCGGAATACGAAGACCTTCCTGACCATATCATAGAACTAGCTCACCACTGCCTCAACAATGCATACTTCATGTACGATGGACAAATGTACCGACAAACAGATGGAGCAGCAATGGGTTCATCATTATCACCGGCGGTGGCCAATATGTTCATGATTTACTTTGAAGAAAAAGCCATCAAAACATACGATAAAAAACCGAAACTGTGGCTAAGATACGTAGATGACGTATTTGTGATCTGGACCCATGGAAGAGTAGAACTTGAACAATTTCTTAATCATCTAAATAATCAACACCCAAAAATCCAATTCACCCTGGAGATTGAAGATAACAACCAACTTCCATTTTTAGATGTTCTCGCAATAAAAACACCGAGTGGTAAATTTGAACACACAGTATATAGAAAACCAACTCACACCGATAGATATCTACAAGCCAACTCGCACCACCATCCTTCCCAAATACAAGGAGTAGCTGACACTCTGATATCAAGATCAAATAGCCTGACCTGTACTACACATAGAAATGCAGAGCTCAAGAACATAAAAAAACAATACTGAAACAAAATGGATACAGCTCAAACACCATCTACAAAGCAATAAAGAAACAACGGAAGACCACACAAAACACACAAGAAGACAACAAAAATCAACCAAGAGCTATTCTACCATACGTGAAAGGAACCACCGACAAGATAGGGCTCATTCTCCGAAAAAAGAACATATCGACAATCTACAAACCGAAGCAAACAGTTCGATCGATCTTAAGAAACCCCAAAGATGCAACCAAACTGGAAAATCAGGGTGTTTACAAAATTGCATGTGGAACCTGTCACCAAACCTACATCGGACAAACCAACAGGAGAATTTCCGCAAGATTAGAGGAACACAAACTAGCAATTCGCAACAGACAGCTAACATCTGCTCTATTTCAACACGAGCATAACACAGGCCATAAAATAAACTTCGAAAGTTGCAAACAAATAGCCAACATTGAACACTTCAAAACAAGAACCATCAGAGAATCTATAGAAATTGAAAAAGAAGTCTTCTTAACAAACGTGACGACTCCTTAAATCTGCCCCAAGCTTGGAAGTCCATAATCTCGAGACGCCAACATCAAACTGACTGCCTGAGCTTCGCTCCCCAGGGGGCGGGGCCTAGCGGCGTAACGAATACGGCCAATCAGCGACGATCCGCTCGAACAGCGCACGATATAAAAGAAGTGAGGACTGAGCGCAGCTCATTCAGTTACCGACTACGAGACCGAAGACAACGCACAGAAGATGCCAAGTGAGACCTTGGCGAAACGTCTGCAATTAAAAAATGACCAACGGATATTTTCCCGGAATAATTGTTCAACATATATATATATATATATATACATATATATATATATATATATATATATATATATATATATATATATAAATATATATATATAATATACATATATATATAATATATATATATATAATATATATATATATTAAACTTTTTACATCCGTAATTATATTTAAATTACAATCTAAAACTAATAAATATGTCAACATGTCAATATGTAAAAATGTCAAATAACACAGTGTATATTTGGTTGCCTATGCACAAGGCTCACTTAAATATATTTATTTATAGAATAGAATAAAATAAAAAACTTTTAAAAATTAATCCTATGCTAAATTTTCAAAAATACCCTCATATAATTAATTTTTTAATAATATTCGCTAGTATATAACTTATAATTATTTCTTTAACCACTATTTAAGTAAGTTTATTAATTAAACATCATAATATTACTATGCTAATTTCTTTTATATCTAATTCTTATTCCAATATATATATATTATATATATATATATATATATATATATATATATATATATATATATTATATATATATATCTGTGGTGTTTAAAAGATACAAGTTTCTCGTATACAAAAATAATTGAGATATGTTGATTAGAAAATGAACAGTCGTCTTCTAATAATGTAAGTATTTTAATGTTTAATTTTATGTGGTAAATAATTGCTCAATTTTTGTGTCCAAGAATATATAAGAATGTATAAGAATACTTATTAGTATTTAAGGTATGATTTATAATAAATTTCAGTTTTTTAGGTAAGGACAGATATTACTAGCAACATTTTGGATGACTAGTTTCTCACTAGTGTAGAACTGACTGATGTTGAATCAGCTTCATATTAAGACCCCTCTGAAAGTAAAGAAAACAATTTGCACGTTTTAAGATCAGCACTATCTTCACCAGTAAATCTTGAATAAAATACACATCTGCTGAATGTATTAGCATATGAACATCCTGGTGATGATTTTAGTTCTGGATCTAGCGCACTATCAAAACACTCAAAACACTCAAAACGAGTTTGATGATCACTTTCCTTTGGTGCAAATAACTATAAACAAAAAAGAAAAAAGGGCCAGGGTCCAATGCAACAGAAATTACGAAAAGGTCCTTCTGATAAAAAAGGGTGAGGAATCCCTTGGTTATCCTTGTATTTGTGAAATTGCATATAGATATTATAATTTAAAATTCTTGTAATCTCCATATAATATATTTTCAAATATACTGTATACTATGTTCTTGTACTATTGACTGCTTAACTTAATGAATAAACTCCATACTGTATTACTGTACTAATAATTAACTATCACTGTATTGAACTATCTATATTGAATTAATTTATCTCATACTCTCCAACTATATCTGACTTAATGAATTCTTCTAAGGTAATCCTTTCTTCTAACTTAATTTAATTATAACTGTCTTGAACTAACTTTCTTGATGAATCTAATTTAATGACTTATGTCAGATATTACCTTTACTTGAAACAATTTGGTGGATGAAAGGCTTAGTGGTATTGGACCACGAAAAAGAAGAAAAATAATAGACTATGAAGTATGCTATGAATGTTAAGTTGTTGTTGTTATTGCAAGTATGTCAATAAATATAATTTTAAATAACTGTAACTAATTCTGTATATATACAAAAAAAACCAAATCCAACATACGCAAACCTCTTAAAACGGGTAGTTTTTTGGTGGTGCGACAACTTAATTGTAACTGACTGACTGACTTCATCTCACTTAATTAATGCCTTCTACTAACTTTATAATTGACTGTAACTGACTAAGTAACTGTAACTTAATGCCTGCTCCAAATTACCTCGTATTTATATCATTTTTTCGTTCCAGACTGTTCTAGCAATAAACCATGTTCGAAACTCATTGACGTTTTCCAGAAAATTCTAGTGAGAAACTTATGGACATTTAGGCTTTCAGACCAGAATACACTATTATATATAAACTGAATATCTTAGACTAATACATTATCACTATTTTACATCCGTAATTATATTTAAATTAAACATCCCAAACTAATAAATAACCCCACTTCACATGCGCAACCAAGCAAATGTCAAATAACACAGTGTATATTTGGATGACTATGCACATGGCTCAATTAAATATGTTTATAATTAAAAAAAGCTTTTAACATTTATTCCTATGCTAAACTCCTTAAAATACCCTTATATAATTATTTTTTAATAATATTCGCTAGTATATATCTTATAAATTATTTCTTTAACCACTATTTAAGTAAGTTTATTAATTAAACATCATAATATTACTATGCTAATTTCTTGTATATCTATCATTATTCCAATGCCCAAAATTAATTTTAAAATAAATAATTCCTTTATTATTTTTTTAAATATTAATTTTCTTATCCACACACATTCGTAAACATATTCACAATTAATATAATTAAATAATTTAATTTTCTATCTAAACTTACCTTATACTGCGCCTATGTTCCCTGTCAATTGTCAAATTGTCAAATTTCATGTCAATTGGGAAATATTGTGTTTACAAAGAGGATAAATAATAAATTTTTACACTGTTTGTTTATTAATAGACAAGATTCAGGAAATAATTCCTTCTCCTCGTTCAAAAGACCCTCTTTAATATAAATGGTAAGTTTTTCATATTGACTTTAGAAAAATATTTACAAAATTAATCTTATGCATAACCCCAATTAAAATTATATTATAAATTATATGATGTTATTTTATACTTAACTCTAATTAAAATTATGATTTTTAGGACCCAAACAAAAGCACAAATTCAACACCGGCTCAGAGAACTACCAAAAAATATGATGTTGATTGATAATTGATACATTATCCCACAATAATGAGATTTACCATCTGTCTTGTTCAACAAATCAAGTCTGTCTGTCTCAAAAAATCAGTTTACTGTTTGTAGTGTTATCAGGGTTTAGTGAACTGTTTGTAGTTATCAGTGTTAAAAGTATAGAAAACTGTTTGTGATGTTATTATTTACTGTATTCAGTGCTAAATGCCCAACAATAGAGTCAGGAACATCGGTCCCCAATTCACGGTTGATAACTCTACCTTTGAAGTGGTGGACAAATACACATACTTAGGCTCCCTGATCACCAAAGAGAACGCCATAACGGAAGAAATCAAGCGAAGGATAATAATGGCAAACAGATGCTATTTTGGACTGAGTAGATATATGAGAAGTCGAAACTTAAGCCAAAAAACAAAAATAACCATATACAAAACCCTTATACAGCCAGTGTTGACATATGGATCGGAGACATGGACCATCTCCAAGGTAGACGAAGACCTTCTGCTTATATTTGAACGAAGGATCCCGAGAGGAATATTTGGTGGCATCTGTGAAAATGGTGTTTGGAGGAGGAGATACAACTACGAGGTATACCACAGATATAAACAAATATTTGGTGGTAAAGACGTAGTATCTCTTATAAGAATAGGAAGACTAAGATGGGCAGGACATCTAGCAAGATCACAGCAGAACAACCCTCCTAGAAGAATCCTTATGTCACAATCCGTGGGAAGTAGAAAAAGGGGTAGGCCAAAACTCAGATGGAAGGATGGTGTAGATGAGGATGGTAGAAAGATAGGCGCAGCAAAGTGGCAACGGTTGGCAATGGATAGGACTGCCTGGCGTAATAGACTTGGGAAGGTCGACGCTCTTTCATAGGGCTGTAGCACCATTGATGATGATGATGATTCAGTGATAAAAATGTAGAAAACATTATTCAATCTCTGCATGATATTTGAAAATGTCATTAATATGAAATATCCCTCTAATTCTATTGTCGGCATCTATCAACACATAACTGTTTTGTCCTTTCTGATTTTCGATTCTGTATGGACCTTCAAACATTGGTTGTAATTTTTTACAACGGTTTTCTCTCAAATTACTTGTCTAAGTGAACGAATTAAAACTTTTTCTCCTTTTTGAAATGTGATTGGTTTTTTAATTGTTCGATTTTGTCTTCTGATATATTTTTCAGCTTTTCTTTGAATTCATCTGTTTACTCTCTGCATTACTTGTTCCAACATTTCTTGGTTATATTTACTGACCCATTTTCTGTTTCCTACATGTCCAAACATTAAATATTCTGGTACTTCCTCTGTATTTAAATTATGTGTATTATTTAAAAAATATTCCACTTTTTTGATATGTCCTTGCCATCTCAAATGCTGATTCTGGCATAGTATCCTTAAATATTTTATAACTTCTTTAATATATCTTTCTGCAGGATTCGTTTGAGGATGTCTGATACTTGTAAAATGAATGTTGATCCCCTTTTTCTCACAAAATGCCCGAAATTTTTGGTTGTTAAAATATGTAGCGTTATCTATTATGCAATTTCTAAATGGTCCTATTTCTTCGAAAAACTGATTAATATATAATTTCAATGTTTTAACATTTGTTCTTGAGCATGGATATAGTTTAATAAATTTTGTGTATAAATTAACTATCACTAGCATATGCTTGTTTCCTGTTGGATTAGGAACTAAATTTGAGATGAAATCCATGGCAACAATGGATTTATATGTGTTCTGATTTTTGAAATTGTTTTCCTTATTTATTTGACATATTTGGCATTGGATAGTAATTTCTTTTGCTATACTTATGTCATTCTTTGCAAATTAATTATCTCTACATAACATCCATAGTTTTCTTGAACCAATATGCATGTAACTTTTATGTAGATCTTTCAATATCTTCCTTGCCAAAGTTCTACTTATTACATATACTTCTAAGCCATTAATTATCTTATAGTACACCCCATCCTTCTTAAGAACTTTTTGTTTTTCACTCAAATTGATCTGATCTCTTATGATTTCTTCTTTAGAATATAATCCAGTGTTTTCTACTATTAGAATTAGGAGCATAGTATTATGCTCCAACGGTGTACTCGACTGTTTACATATTTATTATTTAATATAGATGTTTAAGCTTGGTGATCTGTTTCTATAGTAAATTCATTACCCAACAAATAAAATCTTAATTTTGTGACATAATGTATGATACTTGCTAGTTCTAGTTCTGACACTGAATAACCTTTCTCATGTGGCTTTGTAATTATTGAGATGAATTGTATCGGGTATTCGACCCCATCATGTATTTGTAGTAATACCCCGGATAATCTCTCTATTGAGGCATCTGTTTTTAATATGAATGGCTTTGTGTAGTCAGGCTGGTATATTTTTAAATTTAACAGAAAAATGTTTTTGATTTCTTGGAATGCTAGTTCTCTTCGCTGGTCCCATTTCCATTTCACACCTTTTCTCAACAGTTCAAGTAATGGAATTTCTTTTATACTTAGATCTGGTATTATCCGTTTATAATAATTAATTATTCCAATAAATCCTCTTAAAGTTCTTAAATTGTGTGGTGTTTTATATTCCTGAATAACCTGTGTTCGTTCTGGATCCATTTCAATTCCCTTAGTATTAAGTTTATAACCTACATATATTACTTCTTTTTGGAAAAATGTACATTTTCTTGATTTATTTTTAGTCCAACTTTGCCTAATCTGTTGATTATTATTTTTAGGTGTTTCTCACGCTCTTCAGCCGTTTTAGAAAAAATTAATATATCATCAATGTAGTGAATTACAAATTATTCATATTGATCCAAAATATCATGAAGACATCTACATAGACCACTGCAAGATGATTGAAGTCCAAATGGTACTACTTTGAATTGATATACTACTCCATCTATCTGAAATCCTGTATACTGTCTACTTTTTCTTTCGAGAGGTATTAACCATATACTATGCTGTAAATCAATTTTAGTGAAAAATGACATTTCTGTAATTCTTTTTAGTATTCCATCTATACTCATTGGTGCTTCAAATTGCTTTTCAGTGATAATGTTAATATTCCTTGCATCCAAACATAGCCTAATTTCACCTGATCTTTTACGTACTACCACTATAGGGTTTATGAAACGTGTATCTGCCTTCTCAATGATTCCATCTTCTAACATATTATTAATCGTTCTGTTTACTTCTTCTCTGTTTCCTTAGAAAAGTTTTCAGAAAATCCATTCCTAGAATAACTGAATTTTTAACTGAAGGGATAACAAAGAATGTAATCATTCTTTTACAAAAACTAACAGAAATCTCAGTAGTGAATTGAACTAAAATTGGTTGAACTTGACCATCAACTGTAGTCACTTGCAAACTTTGATCTATTCCTATATTTACATTTGAATTCTGGAGAAATTCCAGACCTAGAGAACCTAAAATAGAGATATTGGACCCTGTGTCCAGTAAAGCTAAACAAGAATGTCCTAAGACAGAGATTTCAAGATATGGACGATTATCCTTGTTTTTTCGAACCAACGAGTTTATATCTAAATCAACAAACGAAGACAAGGGATTACATGAAGAAACTACAGAAGAATTACGGTGCTCGTGCTCAACTAACGTTGTCCTCTCTTCGGTTGGTATTTGCCGTTCTGTGGTCTTTTGTCTTTCGGTGGAGGGTGAGATGTTTGGCTTGTGGAAGCTTGGGCATCCAGACTCGAGAAACTGGTTCCTTGGTTTTGAGGAGTTTGGACAGTGTTTGTATTCCCTGTATTTTGACGAGGAGTAGGAGCCAGGGCCAACCCACCCCTTCTGTCGTTTCCCGAACAGAATTGACATTCAAATTTGCGGATACCTTCACGTCCATATCCATAACAAAACCGAATTCTAGGTTCAGAACATTCATAAGACCCATGCCCTGATTGACGACAATTCCAACAGGTAAGCTTCGAATTGAAAGAAGCGACATTATCAGACCGAGAATAATTTGGTCTACCCGAATAGGACGAATTAGGATTTCTAAAATTCTGCCGAATAGGAGCTCTAGACACGCTGTCAGAAGACCATGACAAAACTTCTTCCAGCATCTTACATTTTTCAGTAAGATCAGCAATCGAGGGAATATCTGTAAGTGCCAGACTAGAATGGTACGATGGCAACAAGTTTTTCTTAATAATCCTGACAATATGAGGTTCAGAAAGAGGAGTCTCCAGACGTTTACACAGACTAACAATCTCGTTAATAAATATAGTTACTTTCTCCTGCGGAGCTTGTTTTCGAGATTTAATTTCATCAAGAAGATTGTCCTCATAGTTATAAGGAAGAAAATCTGATCTGAGTTTGGCAACTAACTCTTGCCAAGAAGCAAAACTACCTCGGTTATTGAGGTACCAAGTAAAAGCTGAATCTTTAAATAAATCGGCAGCAGAAGAGTAACACTCTTCCTCGCTGTTACCACGTGCTATGCGCAGACATTCTACCTTCTCCAAGAAACTAACTACATTTTCATTTGATTGTCCTGAAAAATGAACACCCCATTTATGAATAGGAGCAGACTTAACAAAAGGAAACGAGTTGACTGGAACACTAGCATTATGAGGAGTTGACTGTGCCTGTGGAATCACTTTACAATCAAGTTCACCTTCCAGAATCAAAACCCTGAAATTAAGAGACCTCTTCACTTCCTCCTCTTCCTCTGTTGTAGCTTCTTGTGTAAATGTAAATATAGGAATAGATCAAAGTTTGCAAGTGACTACAGCTGATGTTCAAGTTCAACCAATTTTAGGTCAATTCACTACTGAGATTTCTGTTATTTTTTGTAAAAGAATGGTTACATTCTTTGTTATCCCTTCAGTTAAAAATTCAGTTATTCTAGGAATGGATTTTCTGAAAACTTTTCGTGAGAAAACTTCACTGATTGGCGTGTCTGCGCTGAGTTCTGTCCAAAACTGATCGTATCTCGCACATACTCGTCCAATCTTCCGTTCAAAGCGACTACTGCGCGTGT